CTCCGAAGATCTCCGTGCTTCTGGACACCAGGGAGGGCAAAAACGGGACCCGCAGATCTTGACACTGAGTATTGAGAATAATGTAGAAAAGAACTAAAGGCAATACTTGTTCCAAAAATATTGCTTATACCTTAACTTTGTCATTATTTATTCCTCTTTTCAAGGTTGCCTCATTTCTTTCTAGACTTCATGGAAATTAAAAATATTGATTTTCACACTTTTCAGTGCCAGGGACGTAGGTTTTAAGGTAGCTATCAGATGTTTAATATGTCTGTATAATGCCATATTAATAGCATTGACTTTGTCAGGGCATTTATTTGTTTGCATTTTGTTAATACATTGCTATCTAAATAGGCCTGTTTGTAATGTTGTGAGTCCAAACAATTAATGAATATGTTCCACTGGAAATCTTATCAGAGAATTAATTGAAGCAATTACCGTAGAGACATTTTGCATTGTCTTCTTATGGAGCATGGCATTTAATTGAGCAGTCACCACCCAGACGCCCTCTCTGAGGAAGATGGGCAGTGTATATGTATGCCATGGGTAATGCTGCAAATGTTCAAGAAAAGAAATTATATATATATATATATATATATATATAATCTGTTGGTTCTAAGGAAGCTTTTACTGGTACTTATAAATTATTAGCAGTGCGTGGATTTCCAGGTGTATCTTTTTTATTAGTAAAGAAAATGCTTTCTCCTTTGGTTGATTGATAAACACATGCAGTGGAATTGTTGTTCCACATCCCCAGATAACAATTTTTCCTCTAAATTATTTGCATATTTCTAAGTATTTCCTTAATCTCTCCAACAATTTCCCAGCAACATTTACTCTTTTGCATGAACAATATTTTGGCACCATGCCAATTAGTCACCAGGTCTCAATCATACCAAAATGGATTGAGATATTAAAAATAGTGCTTTGCATTAATCTTGGTATAATTTCCCTCTTTTTTATTAAAATGTTATCTCTGTAATTACCTGAAGGAGTTTCTTTCTGTGTCTTTTACTATGTACTTATACTATGTAAATATGTAGCTGGAGCATTGCTATCAGATACTTGAAAAGATATCCATCATTTGGAGACATTTAAGATGATCTTTTAGGCAACCATCCACCTATCCAAGAGAAATTAATTCAATTGTGGATATTGCATTGGGCATTAAGACAAATATCTGCCTGTTTTATTTATCTCTATTATAATGAATAAGTTTTGTTCAAACTCAAGAATTAATAAGCTTCTTGAGAAATCTCTAAGAAAAAGACTGGACAATAGCAATAACAATAGCACTTAGACTTATATACCACTTCATAGTGTTTTACAGCCCTCTCTAAGCAGTTTTACAGAGTCAGCATATTGCCCCCAACAATCTGGGTTCTCATTTTACCCACCTCGGAAAGGTGGAAGGCTGAGTCAGCCTTGACAAGCTACAGAGAACAAATTTTATGAATGAGGAAGACAATCCTCCATGATTGAACATGCTCCTTTTGATCTTTTTAAAAGAGGAACAAGAATACTTTATTTGGTAATCAGGTCTTGTGTTTATGCATTATTTGCATTTTGCTTTTATATACAAGCTATGCTGTTTTATCCGCGAGTACTGCCAAAGCTGCCAAAAAAGCCAATACAGTTCTACACTGCATTAACAGGGATAGAATCAAGATCAAATGAAGTGTTAATACCACTTTATAATGCCTTGGTAAGGCATAGTTTTGGTCACCATAATGTAAAAAAGATGTTGAGACTCTAGAAAGAGTGCAGAGAAGAGCAACAAAGATTATTAGGGGACAGGAGGTTAAAACATATAAAGAACGGTTGCTGGAATTGGATATGTCTAGTTTAATGAAAAGAAGGACTGGGGTGACATGATAGCAGTGTTCCGACATGATAGCAGTGTTCCGACATGATAGCAGGGGTTGCCACAAAGAAGAAGGAGTCAAGCTATTTTCTAAAGCACTTGAAGGTAGGACAAGCAATGGATGGAAATTAATGAAGGAGAGAAGAAACTAGAACTAAGAACAAATTTCCTGACTATTAGAACAATTAATCAGTGGAATAACTTGCCTCCAGAAGTTGTGAATTCTCCAACACTGGAAGTTTTTAATACAAGATTGGATAACCATTTGTCTGAAGTGCTGTAGGCTTCCTGCCTAAGCAGGGGGTTGGACTAGAAGACCTCCAAGGTCCCTTCCAACTCTGTTATTCTATTCTATTCTATTCTATTCTATTCTATTCTACTATATAGGAAAATATTCCCAAATGGGTTTCGTTTATGGTAATTAACTTCTTGCCATAGTTAGATTTTAGTGAGAAGAAAATATACTTTATGACTAGAAATTTGTTTTTCAAATCTTCAAAACTGCTGGAATGTGCTCCACTCTCATTGATTTTTGTACTTGAACTTCTAAATAGAATGTAGTGCCTTGCTTTCATATTAGAAGCAATTTAATTAGAAATTATATTTATTTATTTTAACCCTAACCCTGAGCATCAAAAAATTCTTTTTTTAAAAAAAAAAAGATTTTTATTCATCTTGTTTACTTCTAGCTCCTATAACCAAAATGCTTTTTGTTAAAGGTATCTGACAGTTGTGAGTAATTTTAACAGATTACCTGATACTGAATAAACTATCTAAGGCTGAGATTCAGAATTATATGGAACCTAATATGATAGTGAGGAAACATCACTATCTCATTAAAACATGTTGAAGAGAAGTAATCAAGAGATTCTATTTAATAGATTGAGTAGCATTTTCAACTACTATATTACATGGGACTTAGTTATAACCATTGAATTTTTAAAAAATCCTCAATGAAATATCAGTATTCAGTAATGAACTCTGTTAGATTTTTCTGGTTTCTGCTAGGCCCTTTTGTTTAAAGAAGGCAAATAGGGATTTCAAAATGCTGTTTTAAAAGAAAGACACTTATCTATATTTACATGACATTAACATTGTCAGATATAAGATTTATACTGAGGTGGATACTGGCACGGCATAGTTTATTCTGTGCCTTATTCGCAAAGTTGTAGCTGAAGGCCACTGCTTGATCAGGAGTGAAATATTGTGACTTTGTCCGCCTTTGGTACATCAATTTTTTTTTTTTTGTAGGAGCAGACCTTAATGCCACTGAAGTATATCTTATCTTCTTGAGGTTAAGCTTCTGTACTGTACTCTTCCTTAGGGCTGCCACTTGTTGGCAGGTGATAGCTGCTTCAACAACACAATGCACCTCTTGCAGGTCCTGTATTGGGTGACACAAGATTTCTGAATACAATTCCCAGGGTGATGTTAACAATAAAGTTCTATGTAGGTTGTTCCTGAGTTATCTTGTCACATCTCTCTTTCAGCCATCTTGGGTGACTTCAGATTCGGTCCTCCCAAGAGAATGAAGGGTGGGAAATCAAGGAAACGTATTATCAGTTTCCACTCCCACATTATGAAACAAATTGTTCTAAGAAAGGAGGGTACCAACTCACATCTGCATTGTGAAACAGCTTGTTTTCAAAGGGCAGAATGGTGGCAATTATTTTGCAGGCGCGATCTGAATTTAATGTTTTAGCTTTTACATTTTAAATAGTACAATCGTTAGTTTTATTAGGATTGTACAAAGCGTTTGGATTTGAGGTTTCTATGCTATTTTAGCATTTGTGGATATGTGTTTGCATATACTATTTACATTACAGATCAAGAAATGTTTGTGTTAGATGAAGATTATAAGCATATTACCCATCCCATCCCTACCAAAACAAACAGTTCTGGAGTTATTTGAAAAGTGCTTCTACATCATCATGTAGATTTTGCCAGGTACAATTTGCAATGCCCTAAAACAGATTTTGATCCTTCATTTCACCAATAGATATTTTTAATATGCTTAACATTATCCAATACTGATAATTGTGGCAGTCTAAATATCACAGCAGGGACTGATTAGCTTTTTCAGATCACTGCCTTTATTCACTGTTTGCAAAGCAGTGCTGGAGATCAGGCGTCCTGCTGTGGTTAGAGATAGTTTCCATTCTTTCTTTGTGTTTACAGTAACAGAAATTGTGGATGATGCCTCCTGTTTGTAAACCCTTAAAATATCAGTGAAAGCCTGAAAATAAAACATTTTAAATATATTTTTGGATGGTTGATTTCTATCCATATCAGTTTGCTTAATGCCATTCTCAGAAAAATTAGATGCAGTGGTGCACCATCATTTGTTGTTAGAATCATACGTCAGCAAAAGCACATGTATGTCAGGATTATGGATTCCAGTTATGTATATCTAGAAAAACTAGTGTTCCAATTATAACTGTTCATATTCTCTGGTACATTGTTACGCTTATTGCATTGATTTTATTTGCTAGCTGAAGAAAAAAATGGTTATTTCTCTACAAGGTCAGTTTTCAGAATAGTAGAGAAATTTTAGTTATTCCATTTCATTTTTTAAAATCCAGTAAGATAACTTTTCATATTAAATCTGTGGAGTTCTTCTGAATTTGGGCTACCAGATAGTTAAGAATAAATGCCATACTTTGAATTTTGTTAAGATTGAAAAACAGGCTAAAACTCTTATTAAAGCAATAAACAGTGAAATGATAGCCAATGATGTCATTGGAAATTTATATACATCTTTCAAAAATGTTCATTTATAAGAAGACATTATCCTAACTCTTTCCATTCCACAAACCATGGCCGACTTCTGTTTCCTTTCAGGTCCTATTAGAAACTTCTGAATAAACATATTTCCAAAAAAAAAGTCAACTGACACTTGTCTCATTTTATTCTCCTGAAATGTATTTGTTCAATAGAGGTTGTGGCACATGGACAGAAATGATGGTTTTAAAAAACTATTGAAACACATTAATAAAAGTAACAAAGGGCACTTTGGCAAAATGTGTGGATGCCTTTCTGTACTTTTTTAATTGCCCCATTTGATTTTCCAGTTTAAACCTGGAAGAGAATGCAGGTAAAAAGTGTGCTACCTCTCCAGCACCATTCTCTTCAGTAGAAGTGAATGTTATTTGTGACAAGGCTATGGGTTTTTTTGGTTTGTTTTGGGCTGAGGGCATTTTTTTGGTTTTGAACACTCCTTGCAACTTTTACCACTTAGAAATAATTCCTTTTCTTTGTTTCATGAATTAGAAACAATGAAGAAAAGCTGAAGTCTGCTTAGGCCAGGTGTTTCTTGTTGGCAGGCTGTTCTCTAATGACTCTGGCTCTCATACAGCAGCTGCCTGCTAGTCTCTTTTGTATGGGCTATTGTTGTAGCACACCCCTTATTATTATACATGCTGCCAGGGGCAGACCTAAGAATGACATCAGCTTGCTTCTCTTAGAAATCTACAAACCTGACGTAGGGTGGAGAGTTTGCCGTGCATCTGCCTGGCCAACTAATTGTGAATCTTTCCTGCACTGTGATTGGTGGTTCTTCTGCTCAGTAATAGGTTAAGCAAAAACCTACTCCATCTGGCCAACCATTCATTGTTCTGTTTGCCTGCCTGGAAGTTTGAAGCTGAAGTTGTATTAAGGAGTACTTTTGGAACTGCTGCAAAACGCTTGTGATTGTTATATTTGTGCTGGCCAGAAGGTAAGCAATTTGTCTTTTGGCAAGAGATGAAGCATGTGATAATTTTCAGATTTAGCAATTTACTCTTTTGCAGCTTGAATTTAAGTGCAATATCAATGGAAAGAAACTTTGTAAAAACTATAAGTTCAAACAATAATTTTTTGAACAGTCTTATTTAAATCTTGTACATTTACGTAAAGAAATGTTATAGAAATGGATAATAGTGCAAATCTCACAACAACTGGTGTAATTTTGAATAGCAGCCTGAGATTAAATAATTAACAAACTTAGGACATTGGTTTGGTAGAACGAACAAGTGGCTGAAAGGTTGGGAAAGATGTCAGGGATGAATTAAAGTTAATATGATTTCCTAATCTGTTACAAAGGATACAGTCCAACTTCACTAAAGTCAAAGGATATTTTGACATTAATGTTCTGAGAGTGCTGAAGCTTGTGCTATGTTAATTCTGGGAATTTTGATTTGCTTTCTATAATTTGCTCAAATATCAAGATGAGAGTAGGAAAAAAGGGGATCAGTTGGAAAGAAAGGCACTGGATGGTTAAAAAGAGGTTTGCATTTCTACCACATGCCCTATTGTGTGAACATATGCATAAGTCTATTGAAAGTTTTCAGAAGATGGGCAGGCCACCAGTTGCTGATCTCCCGCAGTTCCAGTAGACATCTGTTGCCCCAGAGCATTAACCAATCTGTTCAAGTGGACATCTTTCTTTTGTTAGTATGGGGACTGTTGCCTGCATCATTTTCTGAAATACATGAGTAATTAAATACTTAAAAGTCCTTTAGGAGATACATATGACATACTATATTCATTATTTGGATTTGTAACTTACAGCGTTTCAATATTTATATTACTTCTCTTATATTCTAATTGTAATCTTATTGAAAATTCAGATCTCTTGGCCATGTAGCATCTCATTCAATATAGTCTTGCTATTGAAAACATTTGTAAAATTTGGCTTACAATCCAAATGCTGTAAAATGCTGACAATCATATTAGTGATGTTTTTTGCCTCAAGGCAGAAATTTTCATAGATGATATGATCTGTGTGTGTTGGATAAAAATAATAAGCAGATCTTATGTAAATTCTTGTTTGGATTTCATTATACTTTAGTAAGACCCCTTTCAATACATTGTTTAAAAGATTAATTATGATTGTCCATTGCAAAATATGAGTTGCTGTTTCCACTGCATTTATTTGTTACTTAAAGAATATTGATGTGCCTCTAGTTTATTTGTACCATACAGCGCAGCAGATGTTATCTCCAAAGTCGTCTACATTTAACTGCAACTCTTAAATATTTTGTAAGAACCAATAAGCACAATTATTAAAGTGCCAAAGAAGAACCAAGAAAACTCAAGTTCAAGTGCATTCTGACTATGGAAGTTCACTGGGTGACTTTGGGACAGTCAATCTTTTTCAACCCCATCTATACTATAATGGGATTGTTTCCGGGTGGGTGAGTAGAGGAAACAGTACTGTGTTGAAATCCTGGTGTGGTGAGACATAACTTTAATCAGAAATGAAGTTCTTGTTGCCACTTTCCATGAAGCGATAAAAGCTATAGATTTGAAATATGGGAGTGTTTCTGGGATGTTATAGAGCATTCTAAGAAAAACTGTCTTAAAGATGCAGTCTTCTGTACATTTACTCTTTAGTAAATCTCACTGAATCGTTGGAACTTTTTTCAAGTAACCATATGGGGTTTGTGGTGTTTTTAATTAAAAACAATTACATTAGTCGTTTTATGCTTTTCCTCATTTTTTATTTTTAGCTAATGTTAATAAATCGTCAGTATCCATTGTAGTGGATGTCCACATAATGCTTGCGATTAGAATGTAAGCATTTTTGCAAGAATGTTCTCTTAGCAAATACCATCCACTCTGGCTTAGTTTATAGTCAGTGTGCACGTGTTTAACTCATAACTGGAATTTCTTCTCATGATATTTCGTTAGAAGTGGCCAATTTTGTAAATTTGATTTATTTATAGTTTTCACATTAAATACATGTATTCTTTAGCTAAAATAATTTCTAAAGTAAGCTTCTTTTTTTACAGCTCTAAATTGCATTCTGATTACATCTGTGTTGTATGACAGTGTGTAAGTGGAGACCAGTCTTATCAAAATCCAATTGAAATTGATGGTTGCTGCTTCAAGAAAATAAATATTTCAGTACAAGGCTGTACCCGCATGATGCATGCACTTGGAGAGTGGTCCATTACCTCAATGTATTAACTATTAACTACTGCAATACAGGAGTCAATTTGAACTTTTAAGTTCAGTTTAAAAGTGTTGCCTGTTAAATAATTTCCTTCAATCAGAGCAGCTTGCAGGGTTTATGGAACAATGATGTCGGAGCTTCCAGATTCATTTGGCAGCTGCATTGTTCTCCAAGGGTATACCAGATGCACTTAAGTCCCCTTCTTTTTTTATAGGCTTTGTTCATACCAAATTATTCCTGCACTCTGCTAGCATTCATGATAGCTTGTTAAAGGAGTACATCCTAGCAACGGAAAGCTAGTTGCTAAGCAACATAGTTTTCCATCTCTTTTTCTTTTTCCAAGGTACATTTTGATTGTAGTTTATGAAGGCCGCCAAAGTGTTGGGTTTACACTGTATTCTTTTATACTGTTGTAATTTATCAGCAGCAATGGACTTGAGTGAATTGCAGCAGTTAGAAAATCATCATGTTGTTTAGTTTTACTCTCTGAATTAATTATGTATTTGCCCTATAGCATTGTTTGAATGAACCAAAAGGTTATGTTAATAAACTTAAGCCCTTTTCTGTCTTCATTGTCAACACTGATATTATTGTAGCCCAGCAGCCTTGAAATAAAATGGAGTAGTTAAAGAAAACAAGCCAACTTTCTGTAAAGAGACTAAAATGGGCTATGCGATCCAGTTAAGTTTTATAGTAATATACATTACAAATATTTGAAATTAATTTTTAATAGCTGGGCAAAGAAAAGGAAAATATTGGAGAAAAATAGATCAGTGAGAATAAATTATGAACTTTTGACCATCTTTACTGATAATTACACAATTTCCCTACCTGATGAACAATTCAGACAGTTTAAATTTCTAACATTACACATTAAAGATACCAATATTTCCAGACTGAACAGTTCAAGCTGAAAAATTAAAACTTGCTGTTACTCTGGGGCTTCAGGAAAACCATGTATTTTGAAGTATGATATTACAAGTAATCTAGGACTAATTTTTAAATGTTTTTTGAGAGGGGGGACAAAAATCATTTATTTTGTCCCCCTGGCCCCCATCCACAGATTTAGGCTTCTGAGGATATTCTATGCCAAACAGATGGCTGTTGTCATTAGATGTGATAATGTTGGACACCTGTTGAGGGGAAAAGGAGTGCCTGAAATAGGTCTTTCTATTTTCACTCCCAATCCAGTAATCTGTATTATTCTCAGTTCCCTCCATCCTTTTATGCTAGATATAACCATTTTGCCTATATGCAGTATTGTTTTATGTATATGGAAAATAATTTAGAAAAATTGGAGGGGCTTCCTTTGTGCTTGCTGCTACTTATAGTTTAGAGGAAATGTTTCTTTCTTCTTTTGTAGACATTCAGTCTCATAAATTGCTTGAATACATATTCATTTCAGAAGCTTCTCAAAGTCATATTTGCATGCAGGGCATGTCAGGCATTTCATAATGAGGTGACCAAAAGAAAATTTAGATCCAATATTAAAAAGGAAAAAAATAAATGAAAATTGCAAAGTACATTTTAAAAATTAGTTTTAACTTTATTCTTTCTTTTTTAGGACGGCGGGATACTTTGTACACAGAAAAACCAACAAAGTGGAGTCAACCACATGCAGCAGCAGCTTCATGGGCTTGAAGGATCATTTGAAGCATGACCTTGGGCACCTCTATGAGGATACACCAGAGACTCAAATAAGTGCAATAGCACCTTGGTCAATGATACAAAAACCAACCATGGATAAAATTAATTCTAGAAAGGGGGATCCTAAGAAAGAACTGTCTGAAGAAATGGGAACCTTCAGTCGTGATTCTGAGAAAAATACAAATTCTGATAATGAATTGGGAAAAGCAACTAAAATTAGAACAGAACCATTCTCCTTATCTAAGGATCACAGACAGACGTATCCCTCTTTAGAACCACATATACTAAAGCGCAATGAAATTTTACAAGACATTAAGTTAGAGGAAGTTCAGATAGGAACTAAAGAAATTAAAAAGCCTCCTGATATGGTGAAAGAATATCAAACCAAACTTGACTTTGCACTTAAGTTAGGTTACTCAGAAGAGCAAGTTCAACTTGTGCTAAATAAACTTGGTACTGATGCTTTAATCAATGATATATTGGGGGAACTGGTCAAACTTGGAAATAAAACTGAGGCAGATCAGAGTGTAAGTTCTATTAACCCTAGTGTAATGCGAGAAGCATCTTCCGTTGACTCTCAAAGATCTGACTCTCCTCTTCAGGAAGATGTGCTTGTGGATGGTGACAACCTGAGGCCAATAGTTATTGATGGCAGCAATGTGGCAATGAGGTATGTACAGTGTTGTTTTTATATACTGTTTTATTTTATGCACACAATTGTGTTTATGGCTCATTGAAACAGGTTTCTACCACTGAATGGCGCAAGCCAATATTTACTTGGGTAAAAGGTATTTGAAGACTTCTTTTGAGAATTCAGCATTCTGAGAGCAGTACTGTAGAAACATGTTGTACATGTTGCATAGCACTCTGATCCAGAGTGTTAAGGGCACGCAAATATCCACAAGCAGCACCCACTAGACAGGTATTTCTTGTGGGAGAAAAGGATATGCAGCATTTTTAATCCACCCACAAATGCTTCCAAAGTTGCAGTTTGTTTGTTTTTTCACCCACACTGTATTTTAATGTGGTGCTGGTAAACTAGGTATTCTGTACTGAACATTCTGACCGATTTATTTTACTGATTTAGGGAAGCGCAAACTAATTTATATATTGGGGGAAATGATTGCTTACAGAGAATACAGGTTTATATTTTATAGCATTGTCATTTTAACCTGTAGTCCATTGGTCCATTTCAAACATGCAAAATCTAAATTATTTAAAACAAACTCTATTTGAGCTTTTAAAAAACCCACATTTTTTTTTCATAGTCAACTCAGGGTGTCAAACAGCTCAGTCTTCCTTTCTCCTCCTATTTTTCCTATAGCAACACCCCTGTGAAGTGAGTTGGGTTGAAAGAATATGGCTGCTCAAAGTTACCCAGCTGGTTTTTCATGCCTAAATTGGGACCAGAACTCACAGTCTAATGATTTCTGGGCCAGCATCTTAAAACCATAATTGTTTGTTTATATGCACTTCTAGTTTTGATGGGGCAGCTGATCCCAGACAAGGAGCAGACTTTATCTCAGTGTGTCTACATGGGATTCTTCCAAACAATAGTTAATTACAGTCAGAAGACCCACATTAAAATACTGCCTTTGCATCTTTGGTTTTTGAATTAGTAATCTATATTCTTCTGAAAAACCTAGCCATAATGTTTTAAACAAAAAGAATTTAATTAAAATTTTAACTATTTATGCCTTGGTCATCTCCAGTTTGAATTATTGCAACTTGCTCTACAAAGCTGTTTTTGAAAATTACCCAGAATGTTCAACCAGTCTGGACATCCTTCAATTAACTGCTAATTGACTTCCAGATACACTTTAAGATGATAGTTATCACCTTAAAAGCCTTATTTAAAGGGACCTTCTGTAAGCAGTTGAGCGTTCTCAGTCATAGCTCACACTTCTTTGGAAAACTATAGTTTACCTCCCAAGATCAGATCAACTCCTAGTTCTTGAGCTTTAAGAGAAACATGAAAGTTTGGTTTGTATTTTTTTTTAAAAGTCCTTAGAGTAGATCTACAACTTGGAGACCTCATCATTCTTTGCCATTTTTACTTTTGTTTTTTACTATTTGCTATAAAATAGTATTGTTTTACTGTTTTATTCTTTACGTAAGAATGGAATACAAGTGGGTCAGAGAACTCTAGATTCTGGGTGACATATAAACCCAGTAAATACAATAAATACATAGCTGAATACATTATAGGGAACTATATAGCAAGCAAGACCATTGTAGTCAATGTTTATACCTGAACAAAGTGAGATAAGCAACTTGATTCACCAGCTTTGGAAACTAATAGGGTAAAAAATAATGCTTCAAAGCAAATTTGACAACTACAGTACATTGTAAAATATCATGAACATTGGATAATGATAAGCTAGTTAGAAGATAGCCCCTATTTACAAAAAAAAACCTCTTGCACTAAAACAAAAAATTAGATCAGCAATCTGATCACTATCAAGTCAGAAAGCTATACAAACTGATGGAATACCTACTGATATATGACAAGCAGCAGAAAATGAATCAGTCAATTTTTGAGCCAATATATGCCAGCAAATCTGGAGAACGCCCAGTGCCACTAGATTGGAAAAGATCAACCTGCATTCTAATATCAAATAAAAGAGATTTAAAGAGTATGCAAATTGGCATCCTTAATAATCCTTAATTTCACATGCTAGTAAAATAATGCTTAGAATCATCCAATACAAATTAAAGCCATATATGGAAAAGGAGATGCTAGATATTCAAGTTGGCTTTAGAAAAAGCTGAGAAAGATAAGACATTGTTGATAACATGCTGCATAATTGAAAAGTCCAAAGAATATCAAAAATAAATCAGTATATGCTTCAATGATTATTGATTGTGTCAAGATGTAGAAAAATGGGAAACCCAGAATATGTTATCCTTAGTACAATATGTAAGCCATAGTACAGACAGCACATGATGAAATAAAGTAGCACTAAGTTGGCAAAGGAATGAGACAAAGCTGTACACACTCCACTTTTTTATTCAACTTATGTGCCAAAATATATATTAAGGCAAGATGAATTGGAAGAAGATGAGAGTGATTTAGAATTGGACAAAGAAGCTTCCATAACTTGTACTATGCCAAAAACAGTATTCTGATAGTGAAAATTGCAAAGGATCTACAGACTTCTAGAGATAAAGGTCAAGGAACACAGTGGAAAAATATAATCTAAAATAAGAAGATCAACTGATGACAACTAGTACAACAACCATTGTTAGAACTGACAGTGAAACTATTGAAGTGGAACATAACTTCTATGTTTTAGGATCAATTATAAAGGAACAAGAAGTCAAATATGCCTAAGATTAGTATTTGGTAGACAAGTAATAAACGTTTTTGAAAAGATATTCAGATACCATGACATATATATTTACAAACATCAGACTTGTACATGTGATACATCATGAAAGTAAAAGTTGGGGTGAAAAACCTGAATAGAAAGATATTGACACTTTTGAACTTTGGTTTTGGAGAAGGCTTCCGAGAATGCCATAGATAACCACAAAAATAAATCAAGTGGATCGCTGAGCAATTAGCCCAGAGTTCTCACTCAGGACACAAATGACTAGGTTCCATTATCATACTTAAGATCCTTTATGTAAAGACCTAGCTCTCTGGAGAAAATTCTGATACTGTGAAAAGTGGAAGAAACAAAGAATAGGAAGACCAGAAACAAGGTAGATGGACTTGTTATAGTGACACTAGGTACACTATTAGAAGACATAAAGGACCAGTGTAAAAATTGATTGCCACGTAGCAAATTTATTTGGCTGCTATGAGTCAACCTCAACTTGATCGCATATAATCAATCAGTAGAGCTACAATAAGATGCTTCCTTAACCAGCCCACCTCCATGATAGGATCAAAATGTTAAATGGGCTTCCTATACCAAAGTTCCTGTCATCTAATTCTTGTAATGCTGTTTTAAATGTTATATTATTTTAGGTTGAATCGTTCAGCAAATATGTATGATAATGTATTATCTTGTTAAAACTCCTATCAGTAGACAATGATCAGTAAATATAATTGAAATTTAAAATAAATAATGAAATAAACCAAACTTTCCCCTCAAATGGAATATACAACAAATATAATACCAATCGTGGACTGCAAACTTTTAACATTTGAAAAAACTTTCAAGTTTGAAATGGACTGTGTCAATCATTCTGGAAGCATTTTGAGTTTGAAAATACCTCTCTGTCCAGTTCAAAGCACTTCATTCCAAGCTTGAAACATTTCCAGAATAGTTGAACCTGTGTGCAGAACAACTGTTGCAAACTCTAGAAGTAGAAAATGAAAAGAAACTAATCCAAACCAAACATTCTTCCAACTAAAGTAATGTTTATTGCTGTAGTGCAAACAAAGTAAATAATTTGCATTTGAAATATGTAATTATCTCTATTGTGTCTGTGCATGCCTTAATGACATGCCTAGCTTAACAATCTAGTATACATTTATTTACAGAGCTTCCTTGAAGTTCCTTAACTCCCCTCCTTTAGCCACAGATTGCTTAATTTAATCACATTTGTTAACGCCTTCTCTAGACAACTTCACTTTACTTAATTTTTCTAAGCCAAGCCTTTTTTACAAGGTTTTGAGAAAGAGAAGAAAAGGCAAAATCCCCTCTTTTTCCAAGCATCTTTTAGACGTCCAATGTCTCTCCTTTTTTCCATTCTCCAACTCTTGTAGCAGCTACTCTACTTACTAATCTGTATTCCCAGTTCTCCTTGTTCCTGCTGAAGCATCAGTTGCACATTCCTTCTTTTTCTAGTAACCTCTTCTTTCTTCCAATGGCTGGGATCACTTTGATAGGTAATAATACTCCATTCCATACAGCATCCCCAAGGCACAAAATTCAACTCTTTAGCTTAATAAATCTGCCACTTACAAATCTTGTTCTAGGAGGCAGATGTGCCTGCCCATAGGTATCGTAATTAAAATGCCTTTTAGTATATTTCTCATGCATCTGGCAAGAAAACAATAATGCAACCTTGATACAATCTCAAGCAGTGTCTCAGTCATGGCAGCTCAGTTCGAGCAGATCAAAATGCAGTACTTTAAAGTAAACTCTTTGTATCTTTCCCAACCCGAAACCAGGAATTGCGAGGATAGTAATACTGTAAACCAATCTGAGCATTACTATTACAACATTTTTTGTGGGGAGGATTTGCTCTGGAAATCTTAAGTTTTGTATCTGCATTTTTCCCCCTAAGAGATTTTAGGATCTGGGGACTTGAAGTACACAATAAGGACATTCTGTCTAAAGCGTAGCATTAAGATTACGCTTTTAAATAATGTTATGTAGGAGGAATTTTTTAAAATCTACCTTGTATCTCATTTTCTTGGAACAGCAAACATTTGTCCTGTAATGATCCTGCAAGGATAAAAGGTTTAGCTTGAAATCATTTTGCAGATAATTGGATGAACACTATATGCTGTACTTTAATGGAATAAAACTTTCTTCTCACTGGTTTTCTAGCTGCCTATTTGCAAGAATCTAATGTTGACAACTTAATACACTATGTATCTACATGGATAGTTTTTCCAGTTAAAAACAAATACTAATGCTTTTATTCAAGTGACGAGTTTTAGAGCATCTTTAAATGCCATTGTATGGTTTAAAATCTGATTCTTTAAAA